TATTCTTTTGACTGTCAATTGTTCTGTTTGCTACTTTATGCGAAGGAAAGCTACTTTCTTGCAGATGTAATCGATCATATCTAAAGCACCTCAAACGGTGGAGTAGAGGCTTTGTGTCACTAACTTGTAGCAAAGTTATTGAAAATGGAAGACAACACCAGCCAAAGAAACCATGTATGAAACTTTTCGGTAACGTCACGAGAAAGTTGAAATGTCGGTTCGTAAAAGTGAATTGGTCTAAAGTAAATGTGGCCCTTTAGGTGAATTGTATGCATAAAAAATTTGAAAAGGTCTGTATGAGTGGCGACCAACCAGACGTTAAGAAATTTTAGCTTGGGTTCACAGAAAATGTCCCAACCAACCCCTTCCAGTCTGAATTTTTTTCGCAAGAGTTTCCGTACAGGAAGGTACTCAGGGTGGCTCATCAAATGATACTGTCTGTTATTGACCACGAATCAACTACCGCCAGACCTGACAAAAGTAGTTTCGTTGAAAATAATTACGATCGATTTCGGATAACTCATATCCGGAGATTGTGGTAAATTAGGCCATTCCCAACTGCCACTCTATAGTCGTCTGTTCAACCACATATCGGACTTGTGAGGCTGAAATGACAAAGTGAGCTCTGCGCAAATTGGTTTGTCTGTTTGTGCATTGAATGCTGATCTGAAAGTGCACGAGAAGCGCACCGAGATAAATGACGCATTTCATTGGAATTGAACGGCTATTGTTCATCCCAACAATGGCATTTTCGGCCAATATTTGAGAGGAAAATAGGTACGAACGTACAAACCTTTTAGGTTTGTAGGTTCCCTTCGGTGTTTCATTCGTCCTGACTTTGCCGGCTTCAAAATAACCGCCTGAACAGTCAAAACAAAATTACGTCTAACAGCTAAACCTCCGGAACCGTGAGCATCTGACGGTGACGTGCACTAGAATACAATGTACCTAGAAGTATTTTTGAAGATTCCTAGCTAGCATGTTCATTTGTGAAAATGAAAAACTTTGTGTACGTAAATGTACAGAAGAACCAACTGGAATTTTAATCTAGCTTCACTGGTGAGCTTATTTGATCGTACTGCTAACATTTGGAACAATCAGCCTCCTGAAATACCTAATTCTCACAATGTCCTGAACAGATGCGGAACTCACAAGACATCAAAATTCGGTCAAATGTTTGACATGTTTTGGCCAAATCTAAGAAATCAGTAAGTCAAGCTGTTTAACACTTTGGTGGAGGTCGATCTCTAATGGTTCCTCCAAGTGTGTTCTTTCAGATGAAGAGGTCCATCTAAAAGCACCCGCCTTGGGATCATTCAAATCGGACCAGAAAATGTCTTCACTTTTGCATCTGTCATTTTTCAATAGGGACCAGCATTTTCAGAAGCCGGAGCCGATCGCATGGAGACTAATTTCTGTTCAGCTCTAGTGAAATAGTATTTTCAAAGGCAAAATTTAACTCCGCTTTTTACCTTGGAAGTGCATGACTCATAGTGTTTTATTGGCTAGACAAGTGGATTGACCCATAGCTGAGATCTAATGCGATTACTGCAGGGACCTTTAGCGAAATATGAGGTCAAACTGCTAAAGGTAGTTGTACCGGCCAACACCGGGGCAACCCAGGGATACTGTAAGCTCGATCACTTGATCATACCTGAGTGTGCTGCCACCAGGTAGCTGAATAATCCTTAGATAATCAGGCCATGAGAACACGAGGTTCCTATCCAGTAAACTACAAACCATTCGGTTTACTTAAACAGATGTCAACAGGCACATGAGCAAATACTAAGGTGGTAACTGCTATCCATTTAGGGTTCATAGCATCGTTAAAATCACACAACTCTTGTGACTTTTCACCCACGGTTTGATAAAGTTACCTCAGTTGCAGTTCACGCACTTTTGACGTGCAATGGGAAAACAAAATGAGTTATTTAACTTCCAAACTCAGTGAAAGTTTGTTTTTTCCAGTAAACATTTAGTACGCCAACTTTTGCCTAGCCCTCTTCTTCACAAATTAATGAATTCACTCTGAGATCGGTTTTCCAACAAGAGCTTCAAGGTAAGTGAAAGCTGACTATTATCGTGACGCGGGCGTGAAGTAAGGCAAAGAGCTCTGAAACGTGGGCCAAACCGAACAAGATTTTTTAATCGTTAGAGATTTTGATGCGGAAACTAATCTTTCCGTTTCTGGGTAACCTTCGAATAGAGGATTGTGACGAGTGGTCGATAAGTCAACTTTAGCTCGTCAGGGAAACTACCTCTCCTTGCGATATTATCCAAGATGATACCCTTCAGCTTATGAGTAATGACGATCGGTGATTCAGTTCAGATAAAGGTGAAATGATGAACGAAAGGGCGACAGGGACTTAGATCAGTCGTATGTATTGTAGAGTCCTTTTATCTTCTTATCGTCTGACATGGGCTAATAAAACATTACTAATCAGCTGTTGTCGTGCGTATGACCTAATTTGTGACTAGTGAATGACAGCAGTGACATCCGTTCGAGCCCCCTTCTTTTTCCCTATCAACGTTGCACACTTTAGGTCATTTCGTTACTGCACAATCCATTTGTTACAAGTCATGACCCTGGAAACGCTATCTATACCTTATGCCCCACGGGCTGACTTCCTGAATTAATCAATAACTAGGAGACGGCAACAAGCAGCACCGTTATTAAATGTTAATGGACTGCAATCCATTTACTGGTTCCATAGTATGGTTTCCTCAAACGGTACCGGTTAAACGGATGACGAGTGTATTTATTCTGTCACTACTACACAGGTGCCCATGCACAGCCCCCTCGTCTTTCAAAAGGCTCAGATACTGGAAATCGGAGGATAGATTCGGGAGGCAGCTGATAGATGACACCGGGTGCTCGGAACTACTAAGACTAACTAAGAGCAGAGGTGTCCGCAAAATGTTCACTTGGCAACCAAATCCTGCGAAAACGACTGTTGCTAATACCGGCAACAAACCTTCGCGATAAAAGCACATTATCGGGCCCATTTAACTATGCGTACAAATCTCTGCTGTTCTTAACATATTGTCTATTGTGCGTAATACTCGGTCCTAGGATCTAAGCTGACCAATCAAGGAGATTCAACAAGCATGGGTCCATTAGACAACGAAGTATGACTTAAAAAGTTAGACGAAGCCAAAGATTTTTTAGATATGATAGCATTAAATCGGATCTTGTTTTTGTCCATACATGTACCAGACGCTTACTTATTGCTTAATTCAGTTTCTGGAGTACGATGAGAAACACATGAGAACTGGCACTTGGTATACCTGTTTCTAACGTGAACTTCTCATTTCAAGTTTCTCCAGAAACAAAAACGCGGCAGTATACTAACTGGGGTGCGTTGTAGCCACAACAAGCCTTCTCATCTCGGTCTACCTATTGTAAACTGCCAATCCAATCACACGGGAACAGTTGATTGGTAATTTTGAGGGAGCATATAATGGTATCTGGTTAAATAAGGCAAGACGACCTCAGTTGGCATTATTACATATAATATGAACTCAGGATTTGCCAAAAAATGCACCACATAGCCAGCACCGAGTTTTTTTTTGGAAAATATTTCTCGGAGGTATCTGTAGTACCATTCGCTAATATATGACAGGTTCAACAGTACAGCTTCGCTGGCTTTGTGTTGAGCCATTCAGAGAATGACCACCGAAGAATGGCCTCCATTGTGCGAACTTAATACGCGATAAAATATTTTGACCACATAGATCCATCTTCCGCTACCGATGAGCTGACGGTTTCAACATCCCAGACTCTGCCGCACGTTAGTTATTTTTGTCAAATGTTTCAGATACTTTCAGATGTCTTTAATTTACCACAGCTATTGTGAACTCTTCAGTTTCCAAAACTCTCCTCAGCGGTTGTAAATAATGATAGAATCTAGGTAATTTTGATATGCCTCGTAGTCGGTCAGGCATACTGCCAGTGATGAGGCACTGCACCAACGTCCTCTGCTCACTCAATTGGTCAGAGGTCACGTGATCAAAATACACACAGCATGCTGAAGGTTGACCCATGTTAATGTGCCAGCAGCGTATCACGAATAAGGGAGTGGAGTCTGGGTATTAGTAAATGGTCATCAGAGAACATTTTTAGTCACTTATGAGTCAAAGTAGTTCATTCTAAAGCGCATAACGCAACTAAAATGTGGAAAAATTACATGTCGGCCGGTTGGTGGACGTTTATTTGTGGGCTTTATGGCTCTTGTATGTGCTGAGAGGCCCAGAGGCTCCATGCAGCTGTTTTATTCCAATTGGGAATCCTCAGTAGTGCGCATCTTACCGATAACCATAGTAAGTTTCCAATTTACAACCTCCAGAGTGGCAGCTCAAATACTTGACCCTTCGGGAAAGTGAGGCTGATCAGCAGTGTGATTAATTTGCAATTAGAATATAGTGTCAGTCATCCTTCAATCAATCAAACAACAATGCGTGGTCCCGTATTGACTAGCTGCATGAGTTATGACCTCTCGGAAGGGAGTTTCGCCGGTGAAACTATATATGAGCTGTTTTTTGGTGTGAATAGATTTTGGAATTTGCAGTCAACAAAATGTTGACTGGAAGCAAATTTGTTCTAAAATTCGAATTAACTCCTGTGTTGGGTACGGCTAGGGACAAGGGGAATCTGCTCTAAGATGAACTTCAGGTGCTACAATTCAAGCATTTCAATAATAATTCAGAGATTTCAGCCATGGCAGAAAGTGCTGACCTCAAAATATTCTCATATATTCGCATATAAAGATCTTATTTGGGAAGTATGATGCGAATTCCTGCAAATATTTTAGTTACATCAGTTCATATTATTCGTTAGTAATTACTCAACCTTGTTTTACTCGGTAACTAATTTTTTCTCCGAAGATGAGTCCGCCAAGTCCCAAATTTGCCTCAGAAACCACAGTTCTTCTTCTGGTGAGGTTGGCGTAAATTCGCACGGAAATAACCCAGATCACACCGCTCTGTTTTTTTCTGTAAAGCGCATGTTGTGCGCAGGAGCAAATGTGAAGCAACTACATGGGCAGATGAAAGAGAACAAATACGGACAAAGAGACATTCGGGTCAAAAGCCACATGGGATAGACAGGTGTGTTGCACCTGTCTACCCGAAGAACAACTGAAGCTTTGAAAAGGGACGATTTGTAATAATGCCAACAGTGTGCTGGCAGTACAGTCCGTAACAAACTCATGTATACGTCAGGGTTCACGTGCGCCCGTGCTCTAAGTACGATACGGAAGAAAGTTCAGATCCGTTGGCCATTGGAACAAGAGTAAGTGGAGCTGTGTGTTTGGAAGGATATGAGTTACTGAGCACATTAACTCGACTTCGGATTTCATAAAACTACTGAGGGGACCACCGGAGTAGTTCTCTGTGACAACTTCGTCCAAAGCTGTTTCCACTGTGGTTAATGTGATTTTATGAAGGCATCCTGCTAAGTTGATTGCCTCATTTTGAAGAGTATCAAAGCATTTACTTGAAGCAGAACTCATTTAGCGTGTAATCGACCTGGTGGACCTCCATATAATTCATCGTTTGCTCCCCGTTATAAATTTTCGATGTGTAGAACAGGACGCGAGTGATTCCCTTATGAGACAGTGACCACTAAACTTATCAGTTCTGGCTGATATTTCGAAGTCTTCATGGGGTTCTGGCATTTCCGATGAACTGCCCATAAAGAGCACTCGTTTTGCTGCAAAAGATTGGGAAAAAACGCCATGACTTTTTGCTTTGAATTGTCTTAAGCACGGACACGAAATTTCATCCACATTCTTGGGTTCCGAAGGCGCAACAGTGCACCCGAAAAAAGATAATACCGCCATGCTTGACTGCGGTTAAGCCTGACAAGAATATACCTATCAGACCCTAGAACCAGTGCAGAATGTCAGGTTTGTGCATTGTTGGAGTGAAAATTACAAGCTCTTCCCAACTTTCACACAGGCTCGACCTCGAAGCCAAAATGGTTCTTTTGGTTGAGGTCAGCCAAGGGAAATTTTGGGAGAAAATTTCGACAGATTGTGGGCTTATTTTTGCGGACTATGATTCGTGATGAAATGTTGATGATGATGGTGTGCGAACCGGAGGAAAATGAGCGTAACTCAAAGGTATCCAGGCTCTGACCCGGATACCTGTTCACAGCATGCATTCATGATGTCGTCGCAAACATTTTAGTTCACTCCGGTGACAACAATCCTCATATGAGGAGCGTCAACGTGTTGTTGCAGCCGCGCAAACCGGCTATAGTGATTGTACATATTCTCAAGTAAAATGGCACATCAAATGCAAATAAAACTCTTGTTGTAGGACTGTCGTTACGCAGCTTGGTTTTGGGACCCATGGACAATGTTGTTGATTCGTAGTATAAGATCCTGCGAGTGAGTTATTGAAGATGCAAGCGGAAGTCATCGGAAGGACGAAGGGGGTCAACAAAGCTTGTTTTCTGCGATTGGTCCTTTTAGCTTCATATCAAAACAGAATTCACGTGGAACTTTTACAGAAAATTGGGGGCACGTGCACTTCAAAACAGAAAAAGAAGGGCTTAGCTTGAAAGGTACACGTGTCAGTGGGTCGTGGAGAAAAATGAGCAATGTGAATTTCAGACAAGGGTTTGGGGCCAGTTTTTCAAGGGGTGCTTACATTCAGCGATCGCACACTTTTTTTCGGATGTAGAGTTGTTGCTTTTGCGGTCAATTATAGTCACAAGACGACTAAGACTTTCATCTATAAAGTGACCCATTAAAGAGCCAGACATGTGATGTTGAGTTCATGATCGGAGGCTTAATGGCGTTATCTGCTGTCCCAGAACAAGTTAATTACACTGCAGAACGCTCGCCCCTGACCAAAGGGCTTAGCCTGCAACTTCTAAGCAGAATGCTACGGGTTAGAGTCTTCCTGAAGATTCATGTGATGCGTTCTGTTGATGATTAGCCATAAAAGTTGAAACAACTATACAGCGCTCGTCAGCTTTTCCGGCTAGACTTACCTGATTCACATGAAGGATTCTCGATTGAATTTTGTAGGGAGGTTGAAAATCTGTATAAAATATTTGGAATATTCTCCACTTTGTATCGAAATACTGCGGTCATGACGGAAATTCTTCCTTTTTCCCAGTGCTAGTGACCTTGGGGTTTTTTCCTATATGTTCAGATGAATGTCTGATGCGGTTTGCTTTAAAGCAATGAGCATATTGCAATTCATACCTGGACCAAATTCATGTCTTGTGGAGGTAAATTTACACGGACTGAAACATAGAGTCTTGCGTCGCCTTTACCTTAGTCAACGACTGTGAACTCAGTGAGTTTGCATAGGTTTATGATTACCGCTAGCGTAATCCATTTTATTCGGTTTAGTCTACACTCACTTTTATGTCGTCCAGGGTAGGAGTTTATTGTTCATCTAGTGTGTGTATGTTAGCTATCTTTGCACATCTACAAGCAAGGGAATAATCAACTCGGGCAAAACTAATCACTGATTTAGCCCAGCCGCGACTTCACAATAAGTTGACTGGGTAGACAGAAGGTGAAAGGCAAACTAGGGAGAACAAACTAGTCAAGTCAACTCTCTCTCAGCCCAAACCTCATTTGGAATATATTTGTTCATCAAGCCATTTCTTTCACTGTGAACTTTTTCCAAGACGATGTGTGCAACTCGGTTGCACCTGCACGCCGATAAATTTACAAGACGCGGCTGAATATACCCTGGTAGTCATGAACTGCTGAAACGTTCTTTTCGGAGACCATGGAGAGCTGTGTAAAGAGCCTAATCTACCGGTTTGGCTCTGATTATTACATTCAGCTTCCTCCACATATAACAGATGATTACGGTCTTGTAAATTTGAGAACGAAGGTAGCGAACAAAGCTTGTTTTCCTTGATTGTTCATCTTGACTAATATGGCACGAATTTATATGGTAGCAGAAATCACGTGGAAAAGGTTAAGACCGAGGCTACATAGAAATAGAAATAGAAATAGAAATCAAAGGAAGGGGGGTTGGGTGAGGGATAGATCAATGGGTCACGGAATCAGGTAAGTGACGTCAATGTCAGACAGACTTGTGGGACCGGATGTTTCGTAGGCCAGTTCAAGTTCTGCTACCATATAAATGTGTGATGTATTAGCCAAGATGAACAATTACAGAAAACAAGCTTTGTTCGCTACCTTCGTTCTCAAATTTACAAGACCGTAATCATCTGTTATATGTGGAGGAAGCTGAATGTAATAATCAGAGCCAAACCGGTAGATTAGGCTCTTTACACAGCTCTCCATGGTCTCCGAAAAGAACGTTTCAGCAGTTCAGTTTAATTCGGACGTATGGGGGCCCTTTCACTGTGGATGACGTTTCCAACCCAAAGTAGACTGAGTCTATTGTTTTGTTCTGTTTGTATGTTTTGATTGTTTTACTGATACTCGACCTGTGAGGGCCATCCATGGAAAAAATAATTCAGCACATTTAGAATGAAATCCTCGCTTCGGTGTCACCAGTATAAGGAATACGCTGACTGGTGATAACCGCGAGTTATTTGTGACTTGATAAAAAACCTAATGGACTTATACAAAGGACTGATGATCCACTGACACACATGAAGTTTTGTTTAGCAATCATTGGTTTTAAAATGTGCGGACTCCAGAAGTTTCAGTGGCTGAAGCGCGAACCCAACCTCTGCATGCTGACTACGTATGTTTAGATTTGGGCAACCTGGCAATGTCCCAGCTCTCGTGCTTCATTTGGATAGCATGAAAGCTGGGCACAGAAGTGCTACAGATTAATTTAAAAATATCGTATGTTAGGTAAATTATAAAATAAGACGACAAAAACTGATTAACGTATGCCTGAAACTCGGCTGGACACACTTGCCTCTATCGTTAAATGAATGACCAAAATGCACGTTGAGGATTGGTTTGGCCCCTCTCGCATCGGAAAATCTGTTAATCTCTGTGCGTGAGAACTGGCAGTGGTCTGATCAAACGGAACCTCTCTTAACCTTGGCGGCTGTGGTGCAAAGTTCAAGGGTTCTATCAAAATTTGAGTCCAATAATTGTAAGACAACGGTCATACAGCTATGATGCGTAGAACATCTTTCAATACACTTCATACAAATCACAAATATAAATGCATTTTCCTGGCAAATGCAGAATTGCTTATCCAAATGGCGATTTTGCCATCTTTGGAAACGTTCTGTTCTTACATCCGTACCGTGCCGTGTTTTTGCGTTCGTAAACCAACAAAATTTAAGCCGTTAACATGTGTGACATTTCAAAAATACCAAGGTAAAAATGTCCTATGCAAGAAGTCTAAAAGCTAGTTCACGATGGTAAAGTCATGGTCACATTTATACCTTTCCGGTATTTAATCATATCAGCAGACATTTCGACGGAACGAACAACGCGTGGGACTGTTGAAGGCGCTTAGACCGCCCATCGCTAGTTTTGTTTTTCCTGAAGCTCATCAGGTAGGCGAAGTCCCTGAGCTTGAAACAAACTTTCTGTTTGAGTTCACATTGGGCGCAACAGAAAAAACCGCTCAGTTGCCAATCAAGCTGATCTAAAAAGGAGGCCAAAGTAAGTTTCAGCCGAATATTATTACCAATATTCTGAAAGTGAATGTGCTGCACGGAGGCCGCCGCTCCACGTTTAATTTGGTACGATATTCAAGGTATCTAGGTCATCAAGACTTCAATAGGGGCAAGATTGGTGGTGAGTTGTTAGTCTTTTTAGCAGCCTTGCGAATAGTATGTTCCATTAAGGTGATACAAGGTGAAAATCTCAAATACCTTGCCATTTTAAGCATCAAACAGCTCGGGTGCATGAGAATTGTCTGAAGATCGACGTAGATCAGAAGTTCAGCTGCTATTCAGTTGAATCTATAGTTAAGACTTGCTTGATTTTTGAACGAGTATACACCCACATTTGCTATTCATAATGAAGGCCTCTTTGTACTCCTCATCTTTTGGCAAGATTCCGCTCATCAACATAAACACTTTAGTTGATAAAATACCTTTAAAAACTGAAAAACTTCGTGTTTCTTCGACAAGACTCTCATGCCCTTAACGTGTTAAATGTACACAGGGGTGGCTTATGTGTAGCGTACTGCTGTCTCCAACTGACGTCAAGCAAACAAATTCCTGATTGGAATTGAGGGATACTGAAAAAAGATCTCTGTGTGTCATTTCGCCAGAGCCTTGTATGGAAAAAAATGAATGCCATTAGAGCAGTTTTAAGCACATTTGTTTCAGGGAGATTATATGGAAACAACCGTTTGATTTTCAAGTTGATAACATCTTCCTACCATGAACAAATTAGGTAGATAGCGGGTGCTTTTCCGGAAGTGCGCTTCTTAGCTTCTACATGTTGACTTATTTGTTGATTTTTCAGTAGACTAATAACCGGAAGAACGGTATTTCAAATCATAAGATGTAATGGTTTGGCGTTTTTTAAAAAAAAGGAATGAAACGAATTTTTGACATTTTAGTGTAAATTCACCCTACTTGCTGCGCGAATTCGCGGAAGATTCAGAACCATATGAAATCTCATCCGATGTCTTAGAAACTAAAGCGGCCGGTTTTTGATATGCATCGCACTATTCACTCTCACATCCGGGATTGATCTTCGCTCTCATTAGAGCTCATCACCTGGCCTTGTCGGTCTTCAAACTCCGAGCGTTTAACGTGCGAGGGGAGCATGTTACCCTGCAAACACGCGCTGAATGCATCCGAATTTTCACGTGGGAACAGGCGAACGCGCTTGCGCTCAAGCGATGTGATCGATTGGTCGGACATCTCGAACTACGACCCTGTAATTGCGCAAGGGCGGGAAGACGACGCAACCACCTCCAGCATTCAAATGAAGCCGAGTATTATGGGTTGTCAGGCAAGATTCCTCTCTGTGTTACATTTTGAAGAGACTCAAGCAATTTTTAGTTGTTCATTTTATCAAAATTTCTTTTTTCCTACTAAAACCAGTAAAGTTATTACAGCATATAGACTAGCCAAATCTAATCATTCTTCGTATCCATTTTTACAGCCGGTGAACAAACTTGAAATTGGACAGAGTTGCGCCTTTTTCATATGCCATAAAACTGGATCATTCACCGGCAATCGATATTTGTTTGGTTATGGTCAGGCCAGATGGGAGTTTGAGGTACTAATTTATCGGAAACAATCGTGGAATTTAGCCTAAAAGATTCGCTTTTTGCGGAACCGTATTTACATTTCATGCATTATATTGAAGATGGTGGGACAACAATTGGTAAACGAGGGGAAACGAACACCATCAACCCACTTCAATCACGAAATTGTTGAAAAGAACACGCTTCGACACAAGTGTACCTGTTGACCCATGTACTGAAATTTTTCTAAGAGAACATTTTGAGATGAAACGCTGTGACTTACAAGATTTGAGTTACAAGCCACTTTCACAAATGTTCAGTATCGCGCGCATTATTACAGGGATCCATAAGTCATCTTAGGTTTTATGGAAGCATGAAAAAGTAACTCTAAGCCGTCAGGATTTAAGCGAAACGGGCAAAGACCAAAGTGTAATTAGGTCTGGTTTTTATATATCCGTGGTTGATTGGCTGATTACCAAGAGCTCTCATCGTCCACCGGGACAATTCACATGGGAATCAGTAGGCCTGGGGAGCTTGCAGAATAAAATTAAAAACATTCGTTCAACACATGCACATGTACAACGAGACATTTGTCAATCGGCGATCCACGTGCTTTTTGTACAATAAAACCACGCTGAGGCTAACTGGTCAATTTTTTGAACAGATATTTTGTCCTTTAAAGGATGCCAGTTTATGTCAAAGAGCCGAGAAACACTGTACCACTGTTTCACTCTTGATGGGACTCACAGGGATTGTGCATCTCACAAAGCTCAAGGGAGGCTTGAACAGACGACCACCACATTGGTAGTGCGAACAAACCTTCCAGCGACAAGTGTGTAGAGACTACTAACCGCGAAGTCATCGTTTGGAAACTTTTATGAGATACGCACTGTGAATGACTCCTAATGAAGATGGAACAACTGTAGAGTGTCGCTCGGTTTTTCAGCATCGACTGGCTTCAGTTGCAGGAGGAAATCCGGAAATTGCCTAACCTTCTCCAAATACCACACAAGTTCGATAACCAAAGCATATCAGCGTGGCGCAGTGGTGAAGAATACTCATCGAGTATCGTCATCATCTTCTTAATAGAACGGACTTGCTCACGGTGGCTGAACCCCTCAAGAAAGCTAATGGCGAATGCTGGTTCATCTACGAACAATGGAAAAAATCCAGTCGCACCGATCGCCTCCAATGTTCAGTGGTGAGTGAAGATGATGTAAAACGTGCATTTGCGCTAAAAATCGAGCAATCTTTTTGCAAAATGAAATAAGCATTATTTTGGTGCGAAATTTGAGGCATTGGTTTTCCGCAGCATGTAACGTCAACTGAGTAGATATAACAGTTTTATTTGTAAGGTTGTTCACATATCTGGTGAATTTTTATGCCTATTCGCACAAAACATGATTTTTCTCTCTCACTTGCCGTATGACGCCCCAGCGATTGAAATTACCGTGAGGCTAAGACTAACTAAACATTTTTGTGATTTCGGAAGACATTCCTGTCCGAATTCGCTTAGGTGGGCAGCTTTAATAACCAGTCACACAACTCCGTCTCCCTGATATAATTTAATATGAAACGATTCAGACTTAAATGAATTTTTACAACGCAACCTGTGGATTGTGAAGTACACTGAATAAACTCAATGTCACACCAAAAAAGAGCTCTGTCAATTCTGTAGCTAGCGTAAGCAAATGTGAAAAATAGCCCAATAAAAAGCCTCCTTCTTATTTAGAGGGCAGAGCATGATGGACTTTGTTTTTGTGTACTTCTGTACTCAGCTTACTCGTATAACCAGTGATGGATTGTACTTAGCAACAATTTACCTAATTCACATTTGATCTGCATCCACATGGTCCTGTGTCGCTATGTTATTAGAGGGAATTCGAATGCATCCGAATAAATTCCTTATGATATGATCAAGTTTAATTCAGTATTCTTGTCCTTTTCAAGTTATTCCAAATTAGATGTTACCCACTGCCAGAAAGGATAATAGCTCTTGGCTGGAAGATGTACCCACGGGAATTCTCCTATCTTCTAGTCAGAAAGACACCTTCGCCGAGTACAGAAAACCCATCTTGTGAATTTCTGCACTGATTTAATTATCATCTCCAAAGTTTTGTGTATCAGTAAATATAATTTGGGATAAGAGAGGCGAATTATTTTAATTGATAAACAGTCTTCTTGACGGCAGAGAAACCGATGTCACTAAAGTAATTTCAAATTATAAGGCAACTAAAATGACGTGGAAAAGGGAGTTAACAGCCGTGGAGTTCGCTTTCGCAGCTGATCTCCGTGCAGATGTTTCGAGTCACAGATCTCTCGAGTGGTTGACAACCCGCACATATCATGGAATCAGAAAAAATTCGCACATGCAATTTACGATTGATGGGAGGGATGTTCAGTTTGTCAACCGGGAACACCAGTTCAGTGAAAAAGTGGTGCGAATTTTGTGGAACTTCAAGAGTAGTATCTAAATGATGGGGTTAGATTTAGGCTTACCACACGTGACATGCAAAGCTAATCCGGGTGTAGGATAGAGTAAACAGATCTGGTCAGTCGGTCAGCTTTCGGTTGGTAAGCTACTGGCCATCGCGATATAGTACTTGCGAAGAAAACAGGAGCACAGAATGTCTCACAGGCAAATCAGAGTACAAACTGAGTTCTTTAACACATGTCTGTTCATTTTGCAAATGCTGTTTGCGCTATTGGACGTAAAGTTTAACGAACTCAAATCCTGAACAGTGTTATGGGTAGTCCACTGAACGGTAAGATCAATTAAATTTACACGCGAAATGTGAGCAGGTGTGTCCCGAAGTGAATTACAGGCGTTTGTTTCTTCCGGTGTACACCTCATACCATCATAAACTTATTCCTCACATAGACAGAAACACGAATATTAGGAAAAAGTGTTGTAGCCTAGTTAGTTTGTTTCACGACTAGCTTGCATCCTCGCAAATAGTCCTAAAAGGGGATGAATATGAGCTTCGCTGACTCAGGGGTCCCTAAGTGCAAACATTGCACATCAGCGATTTCGGTACGTTACATGCAACATTATCACAAATCTCAGAAGGTCGAAAGCACTTCCCTAGCCTAATTGAAGTCGTCGGGTGGGACGAGCTAGCTTCGCACGTTGCAATTTTTACTGATCTATCTTTAAGCAGCTTTGAAAGTGATCACAAAGGTAATGGTAACAGGCAACAATTTCTCACTGAAATGAACGATTACATTCATCCGTCATCCCGTCATGTGTAATTATGGCACTCAAGCTTCAAACCTTACGGATCGATTGACTGAAGCATGAGAGACTTGGTACGACTGAGGCGAGTGTGTGCGCTGATTTCGAACGTTCTCCTGTGTGCTCCAAGTTGTCAGGGGCAGCTTGGTGAAACAGCATTCACAGAAACGGACTGTAGATGTAAGATGCTAATTTTTGGCCATGAGATCCTATCGGCATCGTAGTTAAGTTAGTCTGATCACAATCCCGTTCATCATGTTCTCATCCTACTCTACCATCTCCTGTGCTCAAAATTACTATTTTAGCAAGTATATGTTCATATTATTGCGGATCAGGAAGAGTGGCAATCAGAAGAATTATAGCTAAAACGTGGCAATATGTTTTTGTCACAGAGGACTTGGTTTTAAGTCAACAGTAACCGCACAGAGGAGCACAGCTTTCAGTATTCTCCTCATATCAGGAATTACAAGTAATCATTTCAAGATTTCTCAATAAAACTCTTATGACAGTATATCAAACACAACACAAAACAGGTTGGTAGAATATCTTATCGCAAGCGTATGAAAAAACGGATAGGTTGCTGAAAACATCGAAATATGAACAACGCACCTACCTCAAGAGATCGGCTGGGTTCCCTATGGACAAGGAGCACAATTTTCAGATAAATCACAAATTGTTTATTCACAATGAACTTCAGGAAATATCGGACATATTTTAGGATTTGTAACACCATCATATGTTGCTTCAGACGCTCAGACGATTGAGTGTGGAACATATAAAAAAAAGTCATACATACATGCATGTCTGTTGCTTTCTTTGCGCGAAACATGGTTACATGAGAACTGATCAATCAGATGGAGTATTATTGCAGTAATGTATCGATTTCCCTGATTGACTGCATATCATGATATCACGATGGAAGAAAAAGGCAACGGAATGTTTTTCTCGGTGGTTAGGAGTTCATGGTTAGTGACTAGATTCGCGCGCGGCACTTGAATTGACAGCAATGGATGTGTTGTTTCACAGTGATTTATTCTTGGTTGTGCAGGCGAGTACATTAATTGGAGATTCACGCTCATTTCCTCCACGAAAGCTAAACACTTTCAATAGAATATGACATCGCCGATGTAACGTTTTCTCTCTCTCTCTCTCTCGACTGATTGCTGTCTGAACGGTAGGATGCACTTGAAATGTCTTCATGGATTCATCACGGTATCATCACTATACCTCAAGTATACTTTCGAGAAAGATATTTCTACTCTAAACTTGATGCTACTCCTTTCAACCGCAGATGTACTGGCTGGAATACAACCTACAGGAGAACGCAACATTGCATCCCGTCTTTGCAGAAATGGTCCTACGTTCCACAAAATTTTAGATTTCATTCCGCAGCACAAGAGATAACTTTTCAGTTTTGTGAGTGTGGACATCTTTCGTTTGAAATACTTTGTGTACAATTAAACCAATGAATAGCGACAACAAAAATTAGCAAAATATTATCTTATGCGGAAAATCTTCGGACTTGGCAGGAATAATGGCGGTACATGCGTTACGAGGAAAATTATAAACGGGCTTCAAAACGAAAAATTGCAGTTCCACTATTGCATAAAAACAAGCAATACATATCCAAAACAGAGCACATGGAAAACATCGCTCTTTGTATTTTAGGTAAACCGTGAGCATATGTTCCAATGCGTTCGACTCCACCAAACTCTGCTTTTAAGCAGAAAACTCACAATAGCTATTCAGCGCAGCAGTAATTATCTCCGGTTGTAAACTGTATGCATAGCTACAGCTCCCTCAAATTAACTCACATAGCAAGTTGGCTGAACCCTAATAACACATCCTCATTAACCGGTAGACTTCTTTTTTCACACCAGGTCCTCGTGTCTAAAACCTCAAATTGAATCAGCTGCACAGTCTAGCAGTGCTGTGTTGGTTGCTAAAGTTTCCTCCGCTTCTCCATTTTCGGTAACAGCGCAGGTTTGTTTTTGTAAAATGCTGACGCCACTAAATTGCTGCTTAGGCTAGACCAAATCTTCCAGACAAGATATTCTCACCCACAACCAACTCTGAGACTGTCCGACGTCTGACAAGAATTGCTCCATTTATGGCCAAATTCCATTGGCTCATATGTTCAGAAACGAGGTAATGAAACTGTGAATTTGTGAATTCCCAATTCTCAGCTTGCATTCTGGCAACAATAGCCACAATCGATTAGATTCTTCTTGGTGTGTCTAGGCCAATATCTATGGCCAGCATGCATGGCTTACAGATGTTACAGTATCCCCCGGTTTAATGAACTCATATTCAACCATCCTGCTCGGAAATGTCGGAATTTTCAATACTACCCGGTCACTTTGAACAACCACCGTTATGTCGTCCAGTACGAGAAAAAACGCAAACATCAAATGAGCGCAATGCTAACATTTCTACCGACTAGAGTCCATGGCGTTCATGGAGTTCCGCGAAGGAAATCGGTGGTAGTGGGTGCGGATTACGCACCTTAGCACTAATATCAGAGCAAATCGACCTGCATAATGCACTACAGAAACTGACAACAGCTGGCTGGGCACTCGGCTAGGTAACCAATGACGTTTTTCGGAATGTGCATGCACTACCTCGGCTGATCTCATTTTAGGCAAACGGAGCACAACTTGACTGCCAACGCACAAGAATCACGATTGCAATTTGCTGCCTGAAGCGCCCACCATTGTACAGCAAACCCAGAAAGGACAGGTCACCCTACTTCGATCCCACGAACTGGGTCGACAGCACATTTCGAAGGCCTTACCGATTGGTATTCCCCTTTGTAGATAGTGGTTAAAATTAGCATTGGTATCGTTCTCGTGTAAGCAGTCTTCCTTTTACTTTTGAGCAATTATTTAAGTGAGTCAACAATAAAGATAGAAAACACTGAATTCGAATTTCGCTGTTATTGGTGTATATCCATCTGGTCGTGCCGA